TCGCTTGTTTGTTTCTACGTCTCTTTGCTTGCTTACTCTGGAAAAGCCCATGTTTCCTCTTGAACACATCCTTCCTCTCTTTCTCTCCCTCATATCTTTCTAAATAAGTTTCATTCAATAAAAAACATCTTGCTTTTAAAAAAGAGACAGGGGGGTGTGGTGCCACAAGTAAGTCAACCTGTATCTGGGGGGGCGAGTGCATCAGCAGCCTGATAATGCCTTCAGGCTTCTGATGCCTGCAATTTGTCACTGTGCCTCTGGCAGGACCCCATCAACGCAGAACCAAGTTTCCCAAGAAATTAAATGGCCAAAAGTTAGGTATGTGGGAACCACACCCACAAAACAACCCTGGGCTCAGTGGCGGTCAGAGAACTAACACAGCAGGTAAAGCACTTGCCTTGCTTTTGACCAATTCAGGCCCCTGAGCCCCACCAGGATGCAGACCTGAGCACAGAGCCAGAAGTAAACTCTGAGAACTTTCGTGCCTGGCCCCAACACTTAAAAAAAATGAACAAAAAACAGCCAAGGAAAAAAGTTAATGAGGGAAAAACAAACTAAATGTTAGAATAAATCCAAAATGTATTAGAGTGTACATACGTGAAAGGTAAAATATAAAACTTTTAGATGAAAACATAAGGAAATTATTTTTTATCTTGGGGTGGGGACATCATGTGAGGCTTAGGGACCTCTCCCAGCCCATGCTCCAGGGTTGTTCATGATGCTGCTTGCGTGATATCTTTGTGCTAGAAATTGAATCTGGGGCTCCCATATTCACTCCAGCCCATTGAACTACCTCTCTGACCCCAGTAAAAGTTTCTTCTTGTGTTGGTGGTGGTGGTGTTCAGGGTTCACACAGTGCCAGAGATTTGGCCCTGGGACTCACACATGCTGGAACCAATCTTTTTTATTTTTTGCTTTTTGGGTCACACCTGGCGATTCACTGGGGTTACTCCTGGCTCTGCACTCAAGAGTTACTCCTGTGCAGCTCAGGGGACCATATGGAATGCTGGGAATGGAACCCTGGTCGGCTGCATGCAAGGCAAACATCCTACCCGCTGTGCTATCTCTCCAGCCCCCTCAATATTTATTTTTATGACATTGACTTTACTGAAACAAGAACACCAGTTCTTGTGCAGAAGATACATCTGGGACTTGTTTGATTGCTTCTAACTAACCAACATTTTCCTCTACATTTTATTTTACATTTGAAGCTAAAGATTCAGTTAGATTCCATAAAATATTGTAGATACTGCCAGATGTGGTCCAAAACAGAAACAACAAAAATTCCTCTTTATGGTGTTTTAATGTCTGATCCTCCTCCTGTAAATTCCTCTGTGAGGACCAGAGATATAGTACATTGCATGGGGCTGAGTGCAATACCTGGCACTCCATATAGTACCCCAAGCCTTATCTGCTCTTACCTTACCTATCTTACCTTACCTATCTCTGCAGTCCCTAAAATGCACTCTTATTTTTTTTAAAAAATCAGTAACACATGAGGCTGGAGCAATAGCACAGCAGGTAGGGTGTTTGCCTTGCACACGGCCAACTGGGTTCAGTTCCCAATATCCCGTAAGTTTCCCTGAGCACTGCCAGAAGTGATTCCTGAGTGCAATGCCAGGAGTAACCCCTGAGAATTGCTGGGTGTGATCCAAAAACAAAAAACAAATGAGTAACAGTTTAAAATAGTATTATAACTATTTTTATTTTTAATTGAATTATCATTAATTACGTAGTTAGATGTTTATGAGTTTAAGGTGAATTTTGTTCCAGCACCAGCCTCCACTACCCTTCACCAAGTTCCCCATTTGAAGTTATTTTTCAGTTTCTGGGTACTACACCAATATCTCCATCCCGAGTGCATGCTTAGCAGGAGGTCTCGGTTCAATCCCTGGCATTGCATGGTCCCCCAATCACCATGCTAGGGTTTCCTCTAAGCAGCATCAACTATGTCCAAAACCAAAAACCAAAAATTTGCCACTCCTGGTGGATGGTATAGATCTCTGTTCCATTTTGATTATATGTGTGGTTTACTTATTAATTAAAAAAAGAACAGAAGGGGCTGGAGGAATAGCACAGCGGGTAGGGCATTTGCCTTGTATGCAGCTAACCCGGGTTCAATTCTCAGCATCCCATATGGTCCCCCGAGCATCGCCAGGGGTAATTCCTGAGTGCAGGGCCAGGAGTAACCCCTGTGCATCGCTGGGTGTGACCCAAAAAGCAAAAAATAAAGAACAGAAGTGGGAGTGGAGCAACAGTACAGCTGGTAGGGCGCTTGTCTTGCATAAATGTGACTCGTGTTCAATTCCTGACACCATATAGGATCCCCCCAAGTCTTGCCAGCAGTGATCCTTGAGAGGAGAACCAGGAGTAATCCCTGAGCACAACCTGGTGTGGCCTCAAACCCAAATTAATAGGAATGAAAGGGCTGGAGGGATAATACAGTGGGCAAGGAACTTGCTTCTCACATAGCTGGGGTTTGCACAGGTTCAACCCCCACTACCACATACACAGTCCTCTGTGCACAATCAGGAGTGATCCCAAGTCAGAGAGGCAGGGGCTAGCCTGTGCACTGCAGGTGTGCCTCCACTTGCCTCCCCACCCTGCTCCCAAAAAAGGGAGAGCTGAGGGAAAAAAATCTCTCTGGTAATGAGCTCTTAAGTGTATTCAAGAAAAGGTTACTTTAGGTCTGGAGAGTTAGTACAGAGATTGGCACTACTTTCCCTTGTACAAAGTCAACTACAACTCCATGAACACCACTAGGAGTGACTGCTGAGCTCAGAGTCAACAGAAAGCCATAAGCATCACTGTGGCTTGTTTTTTTTTTTATTTTCCATCCTGTCTGTCCCCCAAATGAGGGATTTTTTTCTTTGATCTGTAAATAAAGAACCAGGTCAAGTTCCTAGAGACAAAACACATGAAAGTGTGGCGTCTCCAAAGGTCGGGACCCTAAAATTTCTGACACACCTTTCAGCAATTTGTCACAATTATCATTTAGGTGTCCTTATCACTTTATCGTTCAGTAGCTTTTCCTCCAGCTAAGCTGATGTCACTGTTTATTTATTCTCTTCACAATTCAGAATGGTGTTATTTTTTATGATCTCAAGTCTCTGTGGGTTTAAGAAAGTCACAATTTCACTTTGCTCAGTTATTTCCCTTGAAAGGACAGGAATGACAAGACTTCTAAGCTCCTTATGTCTGCTAAAAGCAGAAGTCCTTGGGGGCATGGGAGATAGTTCAAAGGGCTAGCATGCATATTTTGCATGTAGGAGTTCCGGATTTGATGCTCAGCATCACAAAGTCCCTCAGCACTGCTGGGAATAGCTCTTCGGCACTGCCATGTGTGGTCCAAAACCAAAACTCCATATTGCCATAGCATATAATTAACTTTCAAAATTTATTTTATATGGCACCATACTTATTTTTATGGTATAAAAATTACAAAGCTAAAACCCTCCTTTGATCAATACCCTCAACTAAGTTTCCTGCAAAGATACTATTCATTTGGTATAAATGATCTGGTTTAGTTTTACATGTATACATATTTCATAACAAAAGCATACTTTTATTATTCTGTATTTCAACCTAATTTACATGAATTGTTTCATCATCTGGATCTTGAGTTTTTTCTCTCAATATTATTTTAGATAAGTATTCAGGTTACAAAAAACAATTCTATTCATTGCATTAACTGCTGTATATTATCACATCATTAATATTTTTTACAGTTCAGATATTACACGTAAGTTTATTAAGGATGTATATTCAGAAGTGGAACTGCAGAGCTTTTTTATCTTTAAAAAATGCTCCCTTTACTCATTCACAGAAGCCATTTTATTTCCTTCCAGTGGTTTCAGAGTTTTGCTTTCCACATTCCAGTTTTCAAAACCACTGGAATCCTTTGTAAAAAAATGTTTCTATATAAAACTCTGTTGTGTGTAATTTTCTGGATCACATGACCCAATTTTTATTGGGCCTTATTCATAATTTCATGTCTTAGTCACCTGTCCATTGGTTTGTTGCCATGCAGTTTATCAGTAAAATCCATTTACTTACCTACTAACACACTAACAGCATACAATTTTAGGGGTGGGGTGCTGAGATTGAAATTCCCATATTGGAGGCATGCACTCTGTCTGAGCTATGCCCACAAACCCCACACAACTTAAGAGACCATAACTTTATAATATGTGTAGTATATGGTGTCTCTCTGTTTAGTCAAAATTATCTCAGCAACCTTCTATTTCATAAGAAATAGACTTAATGTTTATTCTGTTACATAAGAATTAGAATAAAACTTCTATTTCATGAGAATTTTTACATTGTTTTGTGAAGATCGTACTGTCACTGTCCTCCAGTTGTTCATCAATTTGCTTGAGTGGGCCCAGTAACATTGTGAGACTTGTTACTGTGTTTGGCATATCGAATACGCCATGGGTAGCTTGCCAGGCTTTGCCGTGAGGGTGAGATACTCTTGGTAGCTTGCTGGGCTCTCCAAGAGGGGTGGAGGAATCGAACTTGGGTCGGCCATGTTGGCTGTGTGCAAGGCAAACGCCTACCCGCTGTGCTATTGCTCCAGAAAATGTTTAATGTTTGGAACTTGGAACTATATTATTAAGCCCCATGTCTTGGAGAGATCTGATGCCTTTCCTGGGTATTTATGTCTACTTATCTGTCCAATGGATGTCAATACATCTTTACAATACTTCCATAAAGATAGTTAGCTTTAATTATTGTCAAGACATTTGAAAAAGCTTAGCTGATTTTTATTTTGTTTGGGAGACACACCCAGCAGTGCTCAGAAGTTACTCCTGGCTGACTCAGGGGTCCATATAGGGGTACTGGGGCTCAAACCTGGGTCATCTTCCTGCAAGGCAAGCACCCTACCCACTGTACTATTTCTCTGGCTCCTTAGCTGAATTTAAGAGGTCTCCCTCAACTAATACGCTTGACGTTTCTCATCTGTATGTCCTCTCTTATGAATAGAAAGGGATGCTCTTTGAGAGAACGCTTTCCCACATTCATTACATTCAAAAGGTTTCTCACCGGTGTGGGTTCTCATGTGTATAATGAGTAAAGAGCACTGAGAAAAGGCTTTCCCACATTTATTACATTCATAGGGTTTCTCCCCTGTATGACTTCTTATATGAAGAGTGAGGGATGAGATTCGAGAAAAGGCTTTACCACATTCATTACACTTAAATGGTTTTTCTCCAGTATGAATTTTTTCATGTTCAAGGAGATTTTGTCTTTGACTGAATGCCTTTCCACACTGATTACAATGATAGGGTTTCTCTCCAGTGTGAATTTTCTCATGTTCAGTGAGATTTGATTTTTGGCTAAAGGCTTTCCCACACACTGTACATGCATAGGGTTTTTCACCAGTATGTATTCTCTGGTGTCGGATAAGATTTGACATCTGAATGAAAGCTTTTCCACAATCATTACATTCATAAGGTTTCTCTCCAGTATGAATTTTCTGATGTGTAATGAGATTTTCTTTCCGGCTGAAGGCCTTTCCACACTCGTTGCATTCATAGGGTTTCTCAGCTGTGTGATTTCTCATATGTACAGTAAGGGATGAACTTTGTGAGAAAGCTTTCCCACATTCACTACACACATAGGGTTTCTCACCTGTATGACTTCTCATATGTATAATAAATACTGAGCATTGAGAGAATGCTTTTCCACATTTATTACATTTATAGGGTTTCTCCCCTGTGTGACTTCTCATGTGTAGAGTGACCGATGACATGCGGGAAAAAGCTCTACCACATTCATTACATGCATATGGTTTCTCTCCGGTGTGAATTTTCTCATGCTCAATAAGATTTTGTTTCTGGCTGAAGGATTTTCCACATTCCTTACATTCATAGGGCTTTTCTCCAGTATGAATTCTCTCATGTTCTATAAGATTTGATTTCTGACTGAAGGCTTTCCAACAATCCTTACATGCATAAGGTTTTTCCCCTGTATGAATTCTCTGATGTCTAATAAGGTTTGACATCTGAATAAAAGCTTTTCCACATTCATTACACTTATATGGTTTTTCCCCAGTGTGAATTTTTTGATGTGTAATAAGATTTTCCTTCCTGCTGAAAGCTTTTCCACATTCCTTACATTCATAGGGTTTTTCTCCAGCATGAATATTCTCATGTTTGATGAGGTCAAATTTATGATTGAAGTCTTGTCCACAATGATTACACTTAAATGGGGTCACAACACAGGATGAATAATGATAAAATGGCTTCCCATACTTACTACATTCATAATCTTTCTCTTTTACATATTCTTTTTCATAATTATGTAAGTGTAAACTGTGCTCCAAATCTTTATCAAATGATTCACACTCATAGAATTTTTTCTTTGAAGTAACAATGTCTGAGGTCAAAGAAAATATTTTTGTTGCATTTTTATAATCACTTATGTTTTCTTTAATCAAAGTTTTTTTGGAGACAGATGTGATTTTCCTCACAAGCGTTTCCTGATGTTTCTTGATCTGTTCATCAACTTCCCAAACTTCTAAAATGAAGAGCCAAAAATGATTACTTTTGAATTGTACTAATAATTGCTATAGCTATTATGATGATGACTACAACTGAAATGATTAGTATTGTTGGATCATAGTTCCAGGCATCTTAGGCTTAACATTGGGATGTCCTTTCTCCTCCCACAGGGAACTTAAGATAATTGAATAACACCCACAGCACAGTGGTAGAGCATTTGCCTTGCACGTGGCCTGCCTGGCCGACCTGGGTTCAATTCCTCCACCCCTCTTGGAAAGCCCGGCAAGCTACCAAGAGTATCTCACCCGCAGGGCAAAGCCTGGCAAACTACCTGTGACATATTCATATGCCAAACACAGTAACAAGTCTCACAATGTAGACGTTAGTGGGCCGCTCGAGCAAATCAATGAACAACAGGAGGATAATGCTACTGTGCTAAAGTGCTCCTGGGGGGGGGACCTACCTAATTCCATCAGGGCACTCCCTATCTTCCATGTTTAAATCTTTAACCTCATTGTCTCCTACTCCCCATATCTGTTAGTCACAAATATATCCAAAGCAGACATGGTAACATGTAAAGTCAAACTTTCTGATAGCTCTGGATTTTGTATATGTAAGTGATATATTGCTTTCCTGTTTATGTCCTTTGCATATTTTTATTTTAGAGCAATGTCCTTTCTGTATAGATACTGGAAGACAATTAATGCTAAATACTTTTATAGCATGGGTGTTAATTGACTCCAAATAAAATTTACTCCTGGTATCTATCACATTTACCTGACTTAAGCCTCAGTTGCCCTTAGGTTGACCTTAGTTCCTTACAACCCAAAAGTGTGTCCCACTGAGGGACTTGGATGAACCCAGAACAAGCTGTATGCTTCCCTGACTTTGACATGGGACAGCCTAAGGGCCATAAGACATAAAATTAGCTAAGAGCCTGGTTATCAAACAAACTTGGTTATAGAACAAACTTGTCATTCCCAAAAAGAAGTAAATGAATAAGAGGTTAGGAAAATTGGGGTTAGAAAAAACTAACCTGACTTAGGACTATAGTCTGGGAAATATAGGGAGATGTCCCCAGGAAAAGTAACTCTTTACAATGAATCCAAAGCGACCACTTTAAGCTTAATCTAGGATGTAGGTAAAAGTTTATGTCTTCTACTGTGTTTACACAAAATGACTAGAAATATTATTAAGTAAATTTAGTATGTTAAATTTAAATGGATCACCAGTAAGGAGAAAGCAATATTTCCCTAGATGGAATGCTGCCCTTGGGTGGATCTCCTAGAAGAATTTTCCCTGAAGGAGGGGATTTACACTGTTCATTGTTTATGTTAACATTCAATCATTCCTAAATGTAATTGCTGTACTCCAACCCTTCATGATTTCTCTATAATAATCCTAACTTATTTGAATAAAGTGCCACTGGCTACCAGTCTGTGGCCTTGTTCCTTCGTCCATCAGTCAGGCGGACGGTCATCAGCCCCGAATGCACCAGAGGACTCTGGTCACTGTGGGACAGTGACTCAGACAACTGTCATCATTATTAATGATTTCATAAATTTGGTGAAGTGGGTTGATTATGATATTGGTAATTGAATCCCAATATGAAAAAGCCAAAATATAAATATCTCTAGTTCCTTTTTGTTTTGGGATCACATCTGGCAATGCTCTGGGGTTACTTCTGACTCTATACTCAGTAATCACTGCTGGGGGTGCTAAGAAAATATATGTGATGCCAGGGATTAAACCTGGGTTAGCTGTGTGCAAGGCAATCACTTTACCCACTGTACTATCTCTTTAGTCCGATAGTTCCTTTGTTTTGAGAAATTAATTCATAGAAAATGCTATGAAACAGAATTAAAATGTACATACCCAAATAGCTTTGATTTGAAACTAATGCAGAAATCAGCAAAACAAATAAAAGTACAAACAGCATTAACAGTATTATAAGCCACAGTGCCCATAAAAAAAAAAACCATGAATGACTGAATAGGTTAGAAACAATGAACTGAATGTAAAGATTTCTCCTCCTTAAAAATTTTTTTAAGATGACAAGAAAAAAACAGTAAAAGGGACTAGAGAGAGAGAGAGAGAGCTCAATGAGGTGATTATATGGTGTATATGTGGTGGACCTGGGTTCCATCCCTGGCACTTCATGGTCCATAAGCACTGTTCAGAGTTACTCCCTACCACTAAGCCAGGAGTAGCCCCTGCACATGCAGTGTAGCCCAAAACAAAACAAAAACAAAAAAAAGACAGTGAAAAAATAAAGGGCCAAATCCACAAGAAAAAGAAAAAAGGACTGTAAAGAAGGTGAACAGGAAGTTTCAACAAAATAATGCAACAAAGTATGTATGTATGTAAATGTGTAAACATAGATAGAAGTGGTCACCAAACAAAAATAAAGAAGGAAAGGCTGTCTTTTCGATCTTATCTTTGGGCCACACCCAGTGGTACTCAAGGATTACTCCTGGCTCTGCACTCAGGGATCACACCTCATAGGTTTAGGGGACCATATAAGGTACTGGGGATCAAATTCAGGTAGTATATGTGCAAGGCAAGTGGTTTATCTGTTGTACTACTTCTCTAGCCCCAAATATTAAAATAATATATTTGAAAATCTTGAAAAATATAAAATGGTGTCAATCCCTTGAAACAACTGCCATATGGCTTTCTCATTCAGAGCTTACTTTTAACTAATTCACCTGAACAGTGTCTTCCAAACACTTCCTTCTCTACCACCCATGGCTCCTCTTCTTGCTCCAACTTAAAGATCACATCTGGTTTGGTGACTTGACAGCCTATCAAGTGAAACATCAAATATTTGGGGTATTAATGTTGGAGACAAGTCTCTAGATGTTGTTCATGGAGCATAAGGGCTTGTGACGGATGAAGATGGAGGAACTTCTACAATGGGACAAGGGAATTAGCCTCTACACAAGCACAGTAATTAAGTGACAAAAGGGAAAGCTAGATTCATATGGCAAATTAAAATTTTCATAGTTTATTTTAAGAGAAAAAGAATTATTCATATAACTGCAATGCTAACCTTACCCACTATGACGAGGTTGCTGTAGTTTTCCAGCATCACATCCCGGTACAAGTTTCTCTCAGCAGGTTTCATTTGCTGCCATTCCTCCTGAGTGAGGTCCACAGCCACATCCTTAAACGTCACTGCTGCCTATAAAAACACAACCATAGTTAGTCTGAAATAAAAATCAATGACATGGGCAAAACATCTAAGGACTCCTTAAGCTAGGGATCAAAGTTCATTAAAAACTCTGCCATCAGGTCCTGCCCATATCTACCATCTTGCTGCCAGAGAGAGTCCAGCTCCACAACTAGTCTTTTTTTTTTCTTTTTTTGGGTCACACCTGGTGATGCACAGGAGTTACTCCTGGCTCTGCACTCAGGAATTACACCTGCCGGTGCTCAGGGGACCATTTGGGATGCTGGGAATCGAACCCAGCTTGACCACATTCAAGGCAAATGCCCTACCTGCTGTGCTATTGTTCCAGCCCCCTCCACAACTAATCTTAGGAAAGAGTAGCAAGCAGGGACTGGAGCGATACTGCAGCAGGAGGGTGTTTGCCTTGCACACGACTAACCCAGGTTTGACCCCCAGCATCCCATATGGTTCTTCGAGCACTGATAGGAATTCCTGAGCACAGAGCCAGGAGCAACCTCTGAGCATCACTGAGTGTAGCCCCAAAACAAAGAACGACGAGCAGCTGAATCTTCCCAGGAGGGACTGGTCTAGGACATTCTTGGAGTGCAGACAGGCAGATCCCTTCATCCCCAGAAAACTCAGCAGTCCCTGTCCACAGCCGGTATCTTGCTGGCAGGGAAATGGCCCAGGTTCACAACTAATCTCGAAAAGTACATGATGCCTCTGAATCTACCCAGGTAGACCAGGCTGGGCTGACGATTCTGGGGCCTTCTCAGAAAAGGGGTGAACAATTCCATTTTTCTGCTTTAAGGGACAGCAGCCCAAAGCCATACCCAGCACTCTCCAACATAGAAATGGTACAGATCCAGAACTGAACCCCATTAAGCTACCAAGTCGCCAAATCATTCTAGTTCCATAGATCCTGGGCCATGTGGCCATGTGTGGGGCCATGCAACACTTCCAATTTTCATAGTACTGTGAGCCCAGTATGATTATAGATAGTATGGTGGGAAAACTGCATAGAATTCTGTATAGTCTCCGGGCAGCTAGGGAAGGCCCCAGCGGCTCTCCCTCTCACAAACTGGGTTGAGTGGTCTTGGACTGCTCCCCAACCCAGGGCTGCCCATGCCATCGGCAGACGAAGGAGGAAGCAAGGGCCAAGCTGGTTGATGACCAATTGCCATTTATTCTATCCTCCCCACGTGCCTGTTTTAGTCTCACTAAGCCCCCATTCTAGCCTCATACTTCCCCTCATTCCCGTCTCCTCCTGTCTCTCCCACTCATCTCTTTGTGCTCCATCTCGCATTCTCTCTCTCATCTCTCTGCGTGCCTGCTCCTGAATTCTTCCTCTACATCCTTCTCCCTCTGTCCCCCTTGCTAGTCTCTCTGTGCTCCATCTTGCTGTCCTGGTCTCTCTCTTGTTTCTCCCCAACTCCCCAGCATTGGGGGTAGACACTACACCCAGTCCTGTAGCAAAACCACCACAAGAAAGGCCTTCCTTTGCTCACAGGCAAAATACCACTTAAGGTGTTTTTTCCTTTCTGTAGTTCAATAACTTAATTAAAGTCTTAATTAGCATCTTAATTCTACTTCTTAACATTAGTTATTTTGTATGGACACAGTAAGAGATAGACTAAGCTTGTAGGGTAGCTCTCCTGGGAACATCTCGCCACAGACTCAGACTACTGTGCTCATGCCAGATTAATCTTTCCTAACCCTAGCAGGGTCTGAATCTAGTTATTACTTTTTGGATCATGACAGAATTTGTCCATGACCATGCTCTTAATTTATAGTTAAGTATTATGGCACTTTGGCCAGACCCATTTCGATGCCAGGGTAGTACATGGCTCACATCTTGCCTTGGGTCCATCCACTCCCTCGTCAGGACCCTGCTTTTGGGGTGCCAGGAAGTAAGGACAACTGAGGCTTAAGTCGAAAGAACAGATGTCCAGGAGGTAAATATCATTCAGAGTCAACTCCCAAGTTACAAAAGCATAGCATTAACTGTCTTCTTGTGTCCATACAAAAAGTACATTGCTCTGACTTAAGGAGAAGAGAAAAACTATATTTACAAGTCAACAGAGCACAAAGAAAGAAGTTACAAATAAAAACAGAGGAATGGGAGCACTGTGATGGGTGTAACCCAATAAACCCAAGCTCCCTGTGGCAAGCAGAAAGGACAAACCAATTGTTATCCTACAGAATTCCAACAAGCTCACTAAGTGAAACAGTAACACAGAGAAGACTCAACTACCACCAATCCACCAAGTAAATTTTCAGACAATGAATTCAGTAACACCATTGTGAGATAAAACAACATGAATATTTTTATTGTTCTAAGTTTTGAAAATTCCATTTGCCTTTGTGTTGTTTGCAAACAGTATGAAGCAAATTTGATTGTGCCTGCTAAGGAAACAGGCTGGATTGGTGGGTCAGAAATTGGAAACACTGGTGAAGGAAAGGTCACACCGGTGTTGGGGTTGGTGTTAGAACACTTAATTCCTACAATTTTATGAACAATTTGGTAAATACGGTGTTATAATACATTTTTGTCTGTTTTTGGGCCACATCTGGCCATGTTCAGGGGTTATTACTGGCTCTGCACTCAGAAATCTCTCCTGTAGGCTGGGGGAACCCTATGGGATGCTGGGGATTGAACCTAATTTGGCCACATTCAAGGCAAGCATCCCACCTCGCTCCAGTTCCCAATAAAAATATTTTTTAAAAAATTCATGGATGCATTTAAATGTTTTATAAATTTTATTTTTTAAAGAGGCCACATCAATTAGTGTGCAGTGGTCATCAACAAGGTCACTCTCGTGGTGCTCAGCTTATTTTTTTGTTTTTTGTTCTGGTGTCATATCCACTGTGCTCAGGGGCTTACTCCGCTCTGCATTCAGGGCCCACATCTGGTAGGCTTGGGGCACCATACTGGGTGCCAGGGACTGAGTAAACTCTCTGGTCACAGTACTCTCAGCTTATTATGACACAATGTACCTTGCATGTATTGAGTCAATATAATTGAGTTAATAAAACAATCACAGTTGGGCCTAAGTGATACAGTGAATCGAGTGCTTACCTTGTATGCGACTGACCCAGTTGGATCCCTTGAACCCAACATGGTCCCCTGAGCACAGCCAGGGTAAGTACTGAGCACAGCCAGTATGACCCAAAAACAAACAAAAAAATTTATTATTTATTATTTTACAGGACTTTTCTAGTTGCTATGTAGATGTTTCTAGATTGTAATTCTTTGTTTTACTCTACAATTATTTTATCTTTAAAATTTATTATTTATTTCAATTACAATTATTTATTTCAAATAACTAATTATTTGAAATTGTCTGAGTTTCCAAGTCAAGACAAGTACTGTACCACCACTCCAACCCCTCAAACTATACTTTAAAATTGAATCTAATGGTTATGGAGAGTATTATGCTATGTGAAATGAGTCAGAGAGGTACAGAAATAGAACGACAACATTCATTTGTGAAATATAAAATAACATAATATGAGACTGACACACAAGGAGAATAGATACAAGGGCCAGGAATATTGCTCCATAGTTGGAAGCTTGTTTTATGAGCTGGGAGAGAAGGTAGCTGAAATAGAGAAGGGATCACTAAGTCAATGATGGTTGGAGGAATTGTTTGGGATGGGAGTGTGTGTTGAAAGTAGATAAAGGACCAAATGTGATAGTATCTCAGAATCTATATTTCAAATTATAATTCCCAAAAGTAGAGAGTATGGGGGAAATTGTTTGCCATAGAGGCAGGGGAGGGCTTGAAAGGGGGGGGGGTATACTGGGGACATTGGTGGTCAAGAATGTGCACTGGCGGAGGAATGGGTGTTTGATCACTGTATAACTGAAAGTCAAACATGAAAGTCTTGTAACTGTATCTCACAATGATTCAATAAAAAAAGTATCTTCAGAGCCAGAGTCATAGCTCAATGGACTGAGTGCATGCTTTGCTTGCATGAGTCCTGAGTTCCAATCCTAGCACTTCATGTCCCCTAAGCATGACAGTGTGTGACCTCTGAACAGAGTGGAGTATCCCCCGAGTACTGAGGGGTGTAACCACAAATCCAAAATAAATAAACATACTTGCAAATCTGAATGGTTTGGACCAGAGTAGTATAGTGGGTGGAGTACTTGTGATATAGGCATTGAACCTGGGTTGAGCTACATACAAGGCCTTAACCACTGAACTATGTCAAAGGCCTCAAAACTTTTACATTTTAGCAGTATTTATGGTAGTTTAGCTGAAGAGAGATTAATTCAATCCAAAAATAAGGTCATTTTATGTTTTGTTTTTTGGGCCACACTCGGTGGTGTTGAGGGCTTACTGTTCTCTTTTTAGGAGTTACTTGGCAGTGCTCAAGGATCATACTCAGGGGCCAGATTGAAAGTACAGTGGGTAGGGCATTTACCTTGCAAGTGGCTGACTCAGGTTCAATCCCCGGCATCCCATATGGTTCCCCAAGCACTGCCAGGAGTAACTCCTGAGTGCAAAGCCAGGAGTAACCCCTGAGCATAGCTGGGTGTGACCCCCCACCCCCAAAAAAAGGGACCATATTCATACTGGGGATTGAACCAGGGTTGCAACCACTGCAGCAGCATGCAAGACAAATACCTTATTTTTCTTACTATCTTTCTGGCCCAAGGCTACTTATTTTATCAATTTCACATATCAAACCAAAAGAGCAGGTCAATGAATACAGCCAACACCTAAATATCTTTAATGGTAGCAAAGGTTTATATAGCCAGTAATGACTAACAGTATTTATCACTTACAGACTACTTACTCTTGGGCTGGAGAGTGTACAGTAGGGGATTTGTCTTGAACATGGCCAACCTGGGTTCAATCCCCAGCATCCTATATGGTCCCTTGAACCTGCTAGGAATGATTCCTGAGTGCAGAGCCTGGAACACCTTGACCACTGCCAGGTGTGGCCCCAAAACAAAACAAAAACCTCACAGAATTCCTACATTTATAGATAATGCAAA